CTCGGTGGGACCGAGACGAGGCTCGGGCCTGCCCGTGAAGCTAAAAAAGAAAAAAAACTTACTGCTGTAATTTTTTTATATGTTAATACTTAGTTATTATTTATAATACATATAAATTGCACAAATTTTAAATTCTTTAAAAAAAAGTTAAATTTGTCACTAATTTTAAGCTAAGGCTCGAGCCGAAAGCTCGGGTCCAACCTAATTTTTTTACCAAAAAAAACTTGAACAATTTTTACTCGAGCCGAGCCCGAGCAGAAAGTTGAGCTCGCGGCTCGGCTCGTTGACACCCCTACTTCAATCCTTGTATATTCGTTAGGAACACTTCGTTTGCACGTAATTTAATTTGTAAAAACGTTGTGATTTTTTATTTATTTTTTTCAATTTTAGTTCACTTGAAAATATTCAAATATTGTATCGTATCATATTAAATGGACGCTAAAGCTCTAGTCAGCGCTTCAACTAATTCCCTTTGCAATATCGATGTTATGTATTAAAACTTGGGTTTAGTGTTAAAAGCTCAACGTTATACATCAATTTCATCATTATAGATAATGTTAACACGTCTCTGGCAAGTTGTTGACTTATTTGAGAAATGCTAATATTTGAAATCATTGTCCTTGTTTAGTCACATCAAATTGTTCGTTTGAATTTAATTAATTTTAATATCATAATAAAACTCAGTGTTAACATATTGTTGATAGATATAACTATTTATTGTAAATCTTAAGTGACTGAATAAAATTTTACCCTATCTTTTTGTCTACAAACGTTTTGGAGATCTTTTATTTGTGCAATTAATTAGCCACTAATACAAATTTTAGGCTCCCCCAATTAAGACCATTCTCTGTTACATCAGATAAAAAAGGATATTTTTGGAGAATTTAGGGTGTCCTCCTCTTCATGGATTTGGTGCAGGGGCCCCTACACCATGGAAGTCACATTCACAATTCTTCACACAAGTTGCCATTTTCCCCAAATCTGCAGCATTATTAGAACATGAATTTTACCAAGCAAGAATCACCCTCAAATATTTACTTGGGGAAAAATTAGAACTCAAATCTAGGATGGTAAAATGGCTTGTCCAAGCACCGTCCTACCCCGTCCTATCAGAGAATTGGGGTGGAGACATAGAACATGAGTCGATATTTTATTTTATGCTTTCAAATTTAAATCATGTTTAATAAATAAATAAGTAAATAGAAAACGGATCAGAATTGATCTGTATATTTTAATATATAACGTAATAGGATCTATTGACATTTCTACTCAAATCTAGTTAGCTTAAATTTCAATCAATCTTAACATAAACTAAATTAGTGATTCAAAAAACTATTTCATACAATTAATGACAACATAGAGCATGAAGGAATGAAATGAAATGTAGAGTTCACATTTTCTTTTTCTTCAATTCCCAATCACTTGTGGTGAAATTAATGAATTGTTTATTTCGTTGACTAAAGTCACGTTATAGGTCCCACTTCCATTTATTTATTTTAGTATCAATAAATAACCTACTTTTTTTTTTTAAATCATAAATGAAGAAATATATTAACTTGTTCTATAATTTAATATAGAATTAAGTATTTTTACTGTGCAAAATTAAATGCATGTTTAATGTAGATTTTTTTTTTTTTCGAATTTTGGAGAATAAATAATTAAAAAGTAGAAAAAATTATGGATCAACGTGCAAAGTTATTTTATTGGAAGAATTAGTGATTGAAGATGAATTTTAAAGAATCTGTACCAAATATAGGCTAAAAAAAGTATTTCTATCACATGGAGATGGGGTATTAAGCTCGCGGCATAATAAAAAAGCTTTATATAAATCACATATATCATATGCATATGAACTATTAACAAAAGATAGAATTGTAATTACCATCGTCGAATTGGGCGCATTGA